GGACTAGTGCCTATGGGTGGAGTTTTTGTATATAAGGGGGGAGTGCAAAGAAGGGGGAGTTTTTAATTAGAGAGTTGGGGAGAGTGAGAGAGGGCTTGAAGGAAGATCTGTAAACAGGGTTAGATATAGGTTGAGTAATTGAGTAATTGAGTGTTAAGTAACCAAGAACTGTGCAGGGTTAAGCTCTGAGAAATATAGTGTGACAAGCGATTCTTTTACTCAGTGATTTCCCTTTTATTTTTGTATTCAATAAATCATCATTTTTATTTTAGCTCTCCTTATTTTGTTCCACTTCTCATAGTAATTAGCTTGGGACCAGGTTAAAAAGAGGTTACTTACCTGTAACCATAGTTCTTTGAGTGGTCCTCTGTGAATTCATACAACTCGCCCATCCTTCCCCTCTATCCGTCATGGGTTAGCTATGTAATTATTTAATTAATTCTTTCCTTCATACCCGGCGGATAAAATTAAGGAACTGGGGAAGATGGTGGATGGGAGGAGCATATACCTCGTGGAGGATCACATCATAAAATTGTTACTTTTAGCTCTAGAATCTTCCAAGTCAGTGGAGGCACAGACAATACCCATAGGTGTGAATTCACAGAGGACAACTCAAAGAACTATGGTTACAGGTAAGTAACCTCTTTTTAACCTGGTCCCAAGCTAATTACTATGAGAAGTGGAACAAAATAAGGAGAGCTGTGGCCTGCAGGGCATGTAATGTTATGGTAGAGCAGTATCCTTTTAAATCTGTCTTCTTCAATATAGATAGGCACAAATCTCAGTTCAGAGGTTCATGCCTGTTCATATGCACAGCATTCACCCGCCTCCCCAGCCAATGACTTGCTCACTAATCGGAGCACATGCATCTCCTCCTCCTCTTCAGCTGTTTGAACAGTCCCCAGCAGGAACACAGATTGCCTGTCCTGTCTCCTTGTCTGAGTGGGCAATCAGCCAAGGAGGCGGGGTATGGAAGCCCATGCTCCTGCTGGACACCAGTTGAACAGCTGAAGGAGAGGAGTGTGTGCCAGCTGTGAGTGGGGGATCCAGCTGGGGAGGTGGCATGCATATGAACCAGCATGAACCTCCAAACTAATATCACACATATCAATATTGATATGTAAAAGGCCAGATCTAGACCAAACTAGAGGAGAAAAAACTGGGTGATTCAGGATGCTTACGCACCAGCACTCTGACAGATGGGTTGTGGGGAAACAGTTGTGGAAAGAACCTTCTGAACTGTACAGGCCTCATACAACATACTGCATTACCGAAATGGAGAGAGAAGAATGGGTTTAAGTCTCAATTAATATATACCAGCTCTGTGTTTGTCTGTTGGCTCAGTTTTGGACATCTTAGTGTGGTAGTAATAGTTGCATTCCTCTAACCAAATGTAGTTATAGCTGTTTATTATTAAACACCTGATAAGCAGTTAAATTTTGGGTGTCTAAAGTTGAGCTTATATGTCAATTGGTATTTCTCTTGGCTCTCTCCATGCTCATTGTCCCTCTTGATTTTTTTCCTATGTCTTTTTAAAAATATAACTTGAAGGTTGGCATTCTGTAAAGTAAAATGCTGACTCAAGCACGTTTCTGGTCCCTTGACCTGGTCCCCAGCAGCATTGTTAGGAGATAAAATTATTGTTGTTGCACCCCAATGTTTCATTTTAAAGCATGTATAGAACATGGAAAAGCAGGTATGTAAAATATGTAGGAAAATAGATAAGCTAATGACAATATCTGTAGTACCAATTCAGGGAACATTCTAAGGAAAGAAAGGATAAACTTATATCTCCATCTCTTCCTTGTACTCAGTTGCTTGATGAAGCTACATATTTCTGAATCTCATTAGTCTGTCTTCTGTAAAAACAGATATTGGGAGTAGAAAACTGTTGATTCAACTGTGACTGTGTTTTGGATTTCACATCCCACCTTTGACTTCTATTTAGAAGTCTGAACAAGTTCTATGTCTTGCAGCCTCACCAATCTGGTGAAATGGCTGCTTTATAGTTAATCATACTTACATTGCAACAATTTTGTATCACTTCCTGTGATCTTGTATCAAAATATTAAATGAGCCAGCTGACCAAGAAGATTTGATTTAAACTTTAGTGTTATCAGATAGCATGTTTTCTATATCTTGTATGTAGTTGTTTTTTAATGTGTTTACATTATAGGTGTTTCGACCACAAATAGTAACTGAAGAGTTCCTTTGCAGCTATGGGACTATACTGGTAAGAAACAGTTTTATGTTTCTCTCCTGACAGTGGATATAAATAATTAAAATGGAAACAAACAATAACTAACACAATGCCTAGAATGTTAACAGTTTTTAAATGTTAGGATATATGTATGGTTTTCAATATAAGCTGCTGAATTTTTTTCCTGTTTAGACCTTTGGAACATCTAGAGCTGATAATATTAGTCCACCCTCTCTCCACTGTGTGTACTCCCCTCCCACTTGTGGTCCTCAGTTTCCCTTTAGCATTTTAGAGCCTTCGTATTTTGCTCACATTTGTATTTAGTTATTTCTGACATGTGCTTGCATTGGTCCTTCTTTCCCATCCACTCTTCTGAATCTCTTCCTCTAAAACAGGGGTGTCCAACCTTTCACCTTCCCTGGGCCACATTAGAAGATGAAAATTTGGTTTGGGCCGCACATACATTTGGTTTGGGCCGCATGGGGGGCAGCCCTAGCTGTCCTCCGCAGCCCCACTCCAAGCACGCTTACCAGCAGCTGCGATCTCAGACAGCAGAGGCTGCCAGCTTCGACTCCGGTGGCTTTATGGGGCTGGGAGGGGGTCTGCCTATTGCCGGGGATGGTGCAATGCAGTCACGCATCCCCCCGTCCCCTCCCCTCCCACTCCTTCCTTCCTTCCCTCTCTGCCCCTCTACTGTTGTGACATGCCCCGGCCACATTCCAGCCGCAAGCACCAGCAGTTTAACTTGAAACTTTGGAATTTCTTTAAAAATAAAAAATTGCACGGGGCCGCATTATGACCTGCCCTGGGCTGCATGCGGCCCTCGGGCCGCAGGTTGGACAAGCCTGCTCTAAAAAGACCACTCCTTCCTTCCTTCCCTCTCTGCCCCTCTACTGTTGTGACATGCCCCGGCCACATTCCAGCCGCAAGCACCAGCAGTTTAACTTGAAACTTTGGAATTTCTTTAAAAATAAAAAATTGCACGGGGCCGCATTATGACCTGCCCTGGGCTGCATGCGGCCCTCGGGCCGCAGGTTGGACAAGCCTGCTCTAAAAAGAAAGTATTTGATTGATTGATTGATTGATTGATTGATTGATTGATTGATTGATTGATTGATTGATTGATTGATTGATTGAT